GGCTGCAAGTCTAAGAGCAAGGAGCAGTGGGGCTGCTTTCCTCTCTCCTCTGCTTGTGGATGGCCTCCCACCTCCTGCCTCTTCATACCGTAATCCCCCTGTTACGTGCCCCCCCACCCCCGTCTCTGTGTGTCCAGATCTCCTCTTAAAGGACACCAGTCAGATTGGGCTAGGGTGCACCCTAACAGCCTCATTTAGCTTAATCACCTCTTTAAAAGCTCTGACTTCAAATGGAGTCACATTTGGAGGTACCAGGGCATTAAAATATGAAACAGGGGACACACAGTTCAGGTACAGAATGGCAAGGCTGAGATTTGCTGTTAGGGACACTGAGCCCGGCAGTGTGCCCTTACCCACGATACCATAATGTCCTGGCCGCAGCTCATGGCAGCATACACAAAGTGAAGGCTTTACAACCAAAAGCAGCAGGAAAAATAGGAAACTACATCCGGTGAAAACCTGAGCAAGGTCCCGGGACAGCTTGTCTGTTTAATGCCCTAGGAATCAACCCCTGGATTAGAGGAGTACCTTGCTGTCTGAGGCAGGCTCTGGTCCGTCAAGCCTTGTTTGATTGTCAAAGAATCTTGTGTTTTCTTCTTACTATAGCACCTTCACACTGTTTCCCTGTGGCTCTCCCCAAAACCAGTCATTATTGGGGGGGGGGACAAGTCACCTTCTCTCCTCCCACTTCCATCGAAAAGAATAGCATTTCCCAAAGTGTGACATTCAGATGATTCAGTGAACATGTGAGACAAGTTTAGATTGCCCAATGTCTTTGAAGAGTTATGGATTTATTTGAACTTGTATTACAAATGTATTAACCCTTACTTTTACTGATATTTAAAAGAGAAATATGAGATATGGATCAGTTGAAAGGAAAACAGTATGTGAACAGCATTTGGTAAAGAAATGGTACGCATCATGATGGTGGTGTTTGAGTGGCTGAAATCTGAGAAACCCTGGGATAGTTCTCCATGGAGAAGGAAATAGTTCTGATCATGGGTATAAGTGTCATATCACTTTTTACCTTGATTTATCAGCACACTTGGCCCTAATTTTCCCTGAGGATAATCAGGTGGTGATTATTATTACCACTCAGGTGGTGAGTCCTGGCCTTTGGTTTCTCTTATCCATGTCTCTGTGGTCAGTCACACTGGATCAGGCCAGGATGTGGCCTACCCTGCACACCATCTGGGTCTTATTTATCTGGAGTCTCACCTGGGGCTTCTGAATGGCTTAGTTGCTGCTCATAACTATTGCATATGCAGGCAAGTGTGTATCACTTTACAGCAAAGACTTTTAGCAACTCAAAATCTGATGTGGAGCTACATTTAAAACTTAATTCACATAGGGGCATTAATGGAGTTGGTATAATTTTGTGATATTGCTATTACTTTTAGCAGTGCTTGCCTCCACTCCCATGAATTTTGCTAAAGATGTTGAATAACAGTCCTCCTCCACATCTGGCTCTCTGTTCAGGGGCCAGCTGCAGTTGCTGACACCTTCCACAGCCTGTGTTTCTGAGTCAGGTGCCTGGTGAGGACAGGGGATCCAGGCACAGGGGAGATGGCTTCGTGTTCAGCTCTGCTACAGCGCTCAGTTGGTCTATTTCATGGCTGCAAAGTATGGCGACTGTATTAGCTTTAAGCTCTAACCTGCTGTGATTTCTGAGGCCCCCAAAGTTGTGTTCTGCTTTATAAATGCAAGGTTGCCCTGCAGTGTCCAAAGGGGTTATGCGTGTGGGGAAAGGCCCCTTTTTAGAATTTCTGACAGTATGAATAAAATATTATTTTGTCTGTCTATAGCTTAGAGCAGTGTGTCTCAAATGTCACGAAATTTATGAATCACCTGGGGATTTATTTATTTAGAACAACTCAGCAAAATAAAATTCTGGCTTATTGTTGGACAACATTGTTTCACACACGCATCAAACAGGCCCCCTCCCCCACCAAATAAATAAACAGCAACTTCATAGACAAAAAAAAAAAAAAGAAAAAAGAAACCTTTTATCTTTGGCCTTTTTAACCATCTCAAACAGACCAACTACCTACAGTACAGCTAAATACATACACAAAAAAAGTTACTGGAATGCTCAGAATAAGATTGTTTTTTGTTGTTGTTTTTGCTTTTTTTACAAGGTTTTTTTTCCCCTCCTTTGAGACTATACTGAACATGGTCACACCACAAGTAAAGTCAGAGTCAGAAGTAGGACAGAGACCGCTCTGAAGGCTGGTTTGGTCATGTGAGATCATTAAAAATGGCCGAACTCCTAACCATATGTACAAAAATATAAAATGTAGATAAAAAAAATTCAAGCAAATTTCCTTTTTGAAGTACTTTTAAGAAAAAAAGCAGGGCCTTGGAAGTTTTGGTTCTTTTTTCCTCCCCCGTTGCAAATTCTTGTGGTTTTGGTTGGGCAGTGAAGAGCGCATGTCACCTGCGGGTGGCACTGTCTACGCTGGGCGGGCGGGCAGGGCTCTCTACTGAAGGTGACCGCGTTAATAGATTCTGAGATGGGCAGTGGAGGGTGAATAGGTCACGGTGGCCTTTTTTTTTTTTTTTTTTTGCAGTTTTTGGCCGGGGCTGGGTTTGAACCCACCACCTCTGGCATATGGGGCCGGGGCCTGACTCCTTCGAGCCACAGGTACTGCCCGCCCCCTTTTTTTTAAGTTTAACTTTTCCTTTTCTGTTGTCTAGTCATCCTCCTCAGTCTTCTGCTTCTTGGTATCAACATCCTCCTCCTCATCATCTTCAGCTGCCCGTCTGCCTGTGGTGGCCTCAGTTTCCTCATCTTCACCATCACCTTCCTCCTCCTCTTCCTCCCCGCCTTCTTCCTCTTCTTCATCCACCTCATTGTCAGACTCCCGCTCCCCATTTTCCTCAGTAGCGTTCCCATTAGCAGGGGCGTCTCTTCCATTCTCTGCCTGGTCCACAACTTCCTTCTTCTCCTATAAGTCCTTGGTGATGTGTCTGACATGGTGGGGCACATCAGTGATCCGATGCGGGGGATGGAAGAGAAAGCGAGAGTTTGGGGACTCTGCGATAAAGCTGCCGGAGTCTGCAGCTGTGGAGGAGGAGCCCTGCGGAGGTGGTTGAGATGAGGAAGCCAGACCCAGGAACAATGCAAAGATGGCTTTTCAGAGCCGCTAGTGGGGTTCACCTGGGGATCTTATCAATGTACTAAGTAGGTCAAGGTGGGGCCTGAGATTCTGCACTTCTGACATTCCTGCCTGGGAACAACACTTAGAATGATAAGGTTTGTGGCAGTTTCCCACATTGAGCTTGTCAACGACCATAGAATAAGCCAGATGATCTGCGCAAAGCCTGCAGGGATGAGAGGTGCCCTTCTCCACCCTCTGCGTGTTCAGGCCTCTGCCTGTCTTCCCACGTCTTCTAGACTCAGTCTCCCCTTCCCTTGCTCCTCTGCTTCCTCACTGATATTCTTCGTTCCTCAAGTAAGCCAAGCTCTGGACACTCCAGGGCCTTTGCGTACCTGGTCCCCTATGTCTCGAGTCCTCCTACCCTTACTTCTCCCTGGCTTCTTGGTTTTTGTTCTTCAGGAGACAGAGGAAGTGAGTTCCTTTCTCACAGCTCCCTACTTGGCACCTGATGCAATATTAGTGCTGGGTGCACGTGTAGGCAGGGAACAAAGGCACATTGTGGAGTGTCCTTTTGTACATTTCAGCCACCTGTCTGGAGAGGGCATGAGGGGGATGACAGAATTGGTTCTTGTTCAAGAATCATAGAAGGAGAGGTCAAGAAAGGAGTTACTTTAAATTTTAAGCCACATTTTTATTTTTAGAGATGTCAAAATGTGATAAAAGTGTGCATCTTAGAATATATGAAATACACTAAGTCCAGGGTTTCTTAGAGTTCCTGTCAAATTAGTTTATGAACTACTAGATTAAACAAAAAAGTATGGCAGGGCTTTTCAGGACTTTTGGCGATATGCATTGTAAGGGATGCAATGTGTTCTTTCTTGGCACAGTGGCTGTAGCAGAGGTGCTGGGATTCACTCACCCAGAGGCCATTCCTTTTCTGCCCGCTCTTTTCCTTATCGGCAGGGGGCCTGCCCACCACTGTCCGGCTGAAACGCTAAAGGCTTCCCTGCAGCAGGGATGTGGTCACGTTCCCTAGTTCTGGCCAATGGAGTCTGAGTAGAAGTCAACGGAGGCTTCCAGAAAGTTTTCCTGATTATAATAGATGTGCAGAGGGAAGTTGCTTTGCTGTTTTTTGAAGTGATTGTATGAGGACACGATGCCTGGGATATAGCAGCCTCTTGT